AAGATTGAATTGGCTTTACTGAACGATTGATGAATCGGGGAGCATCTCATATAGCAAGCAGGAGTTCAGAAGGCCTGTATAAAATGGAAGACCTCCATAGGATAAGGACCGCAATTTAAACTTATTCTATTTATATGTTGAGTAAAACAAGAAAGTTTGCTATTGTTAATAGTCATGGTTTTAAAAGAAAAAAAAAAGATTATTCTCCCTATTCTCCTTGAGAGAATTAAAGCTGATTTGAAATTAAGAGCTTCACTTTCAAACCATATGTTGTTTCCAAGCATCAAGTTATAACACGAGTTTTCTTTTAAAGTTTCAACATTTAATTGAAATCACAAAAGAACTTCATTAAGCATTTGATACTTGAATTCTAACTGTAAAGGTTATGCTTCCCTGAAGAGAAGCACAGCAGTAATTACTCTGCTGCTAAGTGAAAAAACAGTCATTTTTTAAAAAAATAAATGTTTCTGTTCCTATTTCCTTCCATTTATTTTTTCTTTATGTTAATTTCTTCCCAATTTAATTTTAAGTAAAATTGGGATTGGGGGGAATTAGTCAAAACTAGAAAAATTGAAAGCTTTCTTAAGGCAAGTATCCAAAATCATTAATGCCTTGCTTAAGTGTCTCAAAGGAAGAGGGAGATGACCTAAAACATGGCGAAGGTTTGCAAACCTCGAAGTTCAGCCCTTGTGCTTAAAATCAAAGCAACGGCATTTATTGTGAGTGAGTGAGTGAGGGAGGATGGGGAGATGGGAAGGAGGCAGTTTTTCAAGATGCCCTCGTCCACCCAGTGCCTCCCATGAACACTCTAGCAGAAAACTGCTCAATGCTCTTTAAGTGTAGGGGAACCTAAAGTGCTTCTGTGACCTTCAAACAGCATTGCATTTGAAACCACTAAGGGAATACAGAAGAATGCATATTAAACCCTGAGGCAAAGGTCTTAATTGGCCTCAGGGCAAAACTTATAATAACCACTTTCTGTTTTGACTCTGCTATTCTTATCCACCACAACAAGGAAAAGGTGAATATGATTCATTGTTTAAGAATTTGGGTTCCTAGTGCACTGCAGACAAGGGCTATTTTCCAAAGTCAATTGAGAAAGTAATATTAACAAATGGCGAAGGATTTCCCCTCTATCGTCTAGCATCTAACTCTGCTATCAGCTGTGATAGTTTTACAACTACACATGATGCAAAGAGAATTGAGGCACCAATAAAGAATGAATCAAAACAAATTATACAGATGCATAATCTTTACCAAGCAAAAGCGTCCTTCTATGTCCTTTGAAATCATGAAAATAAGAAACCCAAGAAATAAAACAGTCGGTGACTGAAACCCAGGTGAGTAGGGAAAGGTCAGAAAAAATACTTCCACTTACCGAAGATCAAAATGGAACTTATATTAAATGCTCTTTGAAGAGGAACACATTTGCCTTTTAAATGGTGAAAAAGGCCCAAGCAAGGAGATTACTCAGTAATCCAATGCTCAAGTGCCAACAATCACTTACTTTGTAAAGGGTAGGTAAGATCTGTTTCATTTTCAGCCTGTGAAAGACAAAGACATCATAAACTGCGGAGACCGCGAGAACAGTCACTCCTTGTTCCTTCCACAACATGCTGCATCCGGCACACAGTCCTGTCCCCAGGAACCAGCCCCAAGTCCTGGCTGAGTAGCCTCTTGTGGAACAGTGTTTAATGTAGCAGAGCAAGGAGAGCAGAAAGAAAAGGCTGGCCCCCACGTCGGCCCGGCCCACGATGCCAGCCACTGCCTCCGTGTGTATGGGGTGAGAGGCAAACATCAAGCCCGCCATGAAGGTCCAATAGCCGTCGCCAAGGAGTATCTTGGAGAAGCTCGTGAAGAGACCAGTGACCGTTGCGTGCAACAGGATGTTGACAAGATGGTAGCTCCAGGGATTTAGTCCTCCGATGGCATGGTTCAGGCGAAAAGAAAGTGTGCAGAGCGGCCGGTAGGACTTGTGGCTGCCACTGTGGGTGAGAAGAGTCCCCCAAAAATCATTGTAGAAAATGTGCGTCCATGGTGTTTCTGGGAGAAGATCCTGATTCGTCTTGATAGCACGGCTAAAAAACAAAATGTTTTAAAAACATCAAATGTAGAATACAGAAAGAAAAAAAGTAAGAAAATATGTGACAAAGTGAAGATACGCCTTCCTCCCTAGCTTTGTCATCATGTGGCTTTAGGCTAGGATTCCAGGTATTCATGATTAATGCAAATGAGCTTTACATACACAGTGAATTCAGATCTTCTCCTTAATGCTTACTAAAATTACAATTAGGGTTGTACCTACTTTTCTCAAAAGCTTTCTTCCTTGTTTGAATGTAAATATGTTTGAAGAATAAATACAGAGATTCGATCAGTGGTTTAAGCCTTAATGCGGAGGTTGCTGAACAGCTGCCTTAGAAACTATGTCTTATGCTAACTAAAAATGCAGACTCCAGGCCGCAAGTTCATGAGGCCTGAGAATATGCATTTTAAGAAGCACAGCCACAGGTGTGACTGGTACAGGGGATACACTGAGAGTGAGAACTAGCCCCCAGACTAGAAATACTTTTTAAATAAAATATCTGTGCCCAGAGCAATTCTTCTCATACATACACCTCCCCCGGAGGTCATGTTAACAGGCAGATTCCAATTCAGTAGGTCTGAGGAGGAGCCCAAGATTCCACATTTCTAACAAGCCCCCAAGTAATGCACAGGCTGCTGGTCCTTTTGGACCAAACTGAGCAGCCAGGACCTAGAGAGCTTGAGAGATGAGGAAGAAGGCTCTCCACTTATCCAAAATTTCCCCCTCCTCCTACATTCCAGGAAACTTCATCCTTTCCCCCTTCTGAGCTCTCAAAAGAATTAGTGTCTCTATACTAGGTGCTATAATGATGGCAATTCATTGTCTCCTGCTTTTGAGGATTAGCAGCTGTAGATTTCCAGACTTCGAGGAGGAATGACCTAATAGTTCCCGAGCACTTGCTATTTGCCCAGCACTCTGCTGGTCTCCTTGGCTTTACCTTCTCATTTCATTCTTCGAATAACTGATAAGGTAGATATGATTATCTACTTCTCTCATGTGAGGAAATTACCATTGAGAACGCCTAACTAATACCGGTCCTGAAGTCACACAAGTTGGAAACAGCCAGGTAGTTTCATGGCCCATGCTGCTCTTTTCACTATAATGGGCTTCTCAAAATCTAATCCACATACCACTGGGAGTATGTGAGAAAATACACGGATAAACCTTATAAAACTTTTATTGGTGGTCCTTGTTTTAATGTATATTTGAAACAAAATTTAATTAGCACATCAAAGCTGGATGTCATGGATGTTTGCTCAGAATGAAGCTGTTAAAAATTAAAACATCAATGGAAAGACAAATATTAAGGAATCAACAATCAAATATATATATATATATGTATATATATATATATATATATACACACACATACACACACACACACATATAGATAAGGTACAAATGTTGACAATGGCACATAAATGACTCAGTTTGGAGGATTCCTGTTCTATGTCATTATACCTTCCAGACAACAGGGTGGCATCTCGAGTGTTTTGTATCCTTAGTTCACTCTTCTCTGTACTTAGAGAACACAAAAGAGGAACAAGAGTCAGGAGGAAGAAGGAATGAGACATTTAAGGTTTCTACTCCATAACTAGAAACCTCTTGCCTCGTCTAATGTCAGGGCTTTTTAAGGCAATGTGGGCACTGGTACAGCTGAACAATATAAGATGGGTGGCCACCCTAATGGCCTTTGCCTCTAGCCCCTCCACCAGCTCTGCCTTTCACTGGGAGGCAGGCATGGCTATAGGAATTTCCACATGAATGGTATCAAAACTCAGGTTGCAAAAGCCCTGGATGGAGGAAGAACATTCCTGAGTCCCAGCTCTGTAATCTGCTCAGTGTCTTCAAAAACGAGAACATGCAACAGAGATTCAAACAAATTAAGAAACCCAGCCAAGGCGACACAGCCCATTGAGACAGCGGAGTTAGTATTCCAGCTGGGATCAAACGACTGGGCAATGCTGGTTTTCAACTGCTTCTCTATATCCTCCTTCCCTATCACCACTCTGAGCTTCAGTTTCTGTGATAATAGTTTTACTTTGAAATCATTTAGCAAATAGTACTTGTAATTGTTCCTTCATCTTCTACGTAGAGAAGCAGAGACTGCTGCTTTGCAGATAACGTGAGTGGGCTGGAGACCTAGTATAAATGCATCTCAGCCTTGTTAGCTGCTGCTGTTATTATTCTACAAAGACTAGGATGCAATTTACCAAAAGGCCCTTATGAAAGTCTGCTTGACCCACAACCTCTGAAATGGGTATATTTGGGGGTTAGAATTAAAACAGACTGATCAGTAATTGATAATTATCTACTCTGTGCCAAACACCATGCCAGTCCTTTTCCATCTACTTATGAGAACTGACTGACTTTTCCAGATGCTCAGTAAAAAGGCAGAAGGTCTGTAAAAATCATGTCTTAAAAAATAATCAATGTGGCAGGGATAAGTTGGTTGTTCTCCCATATCTATCTCTCCCCTTTTCCCAAACTCGCAGCCCTTCTGTTTTCAACTGAGTCTATGGTCATGTAGAAAAATGATTTCATTTCCTATCTTCCCTTGCTGCTACGTGTGGTCATGTGACAACTTTTTTGCCAGTGGAACATAAGCAGAGTTCTATGTGCTACTTCCAGAGAGTGTCCTTAAAAGGAAAAAGCTTAGCATCCTTGCCCTCCAACCCTACCTCCTTCCTGTTAGCACACAGATATAATAGCTGGAGTTCTAGCAGCCATGTTGGCCCATAAAGTGTCCTTAGGAATAAAAATCCTGCCCAGCACAGCACAGCAATAAGACTGAAGGAAGCTGAGTTCCTCTCACGGTGGACCATACCGGCCCTGGGCTAGCTACCTCCCCACTGCAAGAGTGTGAGAAATAAATTACTGTCTCATTTAAACTGCAATATTTGTGGTATTAGCTAGTGGCAGCTGAAGTTAGTCATAAGTGAAATCCTTTGTTCACAGAAGACCTACTATATCACAGCGCTTTGATTTTCCATTTTGATTTTGATTTTTACAAGTCTCTGTGTATTGACTGTATAGTAAATGAATTTCCATATAAATTGGCTTTGAAAATATTAGAAACAGATGTTATTCTGGGTCCATTAAATTAAAACACTGTGCTATGACATTCATCAAGAGTCTAACCCAGAAGTAATTGCTTAAGACTCGATGGGTTCTAATTAAAATTTAAAAGAAATATGAAAAACTGCCAGTGTTGTCAGAGAGAGCTGATTTCAAGCAATTCAGAATGAAACCCCAACTGGCCTGCGCTAAACATTAACTTAGATATTGATGTGAATTTCTCTACTGTCAATGCAGAAAGACTCATACTATCCCAGTCAGAGCAGTGGAAAGCTCAATAGCAAAGCATTCTGGGAAAAGGCTTTGCTAATACAGTGAGGAAAGCTAGAAAGCAAATTTTGTTTAGGATAGTACTTTGCCCTTTAATGGCAGATACAAACAGAATGGAGAACCTCATTCCCCAAACCAGGTTTTCTACATGTTATTCATCACCATAACCAACTCTGTAAAAACTTTTGGAGAAAACATAAAACCCATGCTTTTAAAAATCTGTTCAAACCTGCCAGAATCTCTTAGACTTATAGCAATACATCTAGTAGTGTGAAGCAGCCAACAAGATATACACCACACGTCCAACTCTCAAAAAACAAGGGTTTCAAAAAGAAAAAGAACAAAATGAACAAATCTCATAATTTCACTGTGAGAAAAAACTTTGATGAGGCATAGCCTTAAATTTACACTGTAGAAAAAAAATTAAAGGGCAAACAGTGTTAATAAAACAAAAGTGGAAGAGCCAGCAAACACCTCATTCATGTGAAAAACATAATATACAAAGGGGGACTTTAGAATGATAAAGTTCTTTGACGGGTGTTATCTGCTTCGGCAGGTAACCAATGAATATTATGGCAAAAGAACATGAACTAAGACTAAATTGTACTGGGCTTTAGGATATAAGTCATGTCACACATGCAAGTCAGTGATAAGGATGCATTACACACCCCTCACATCATTTTAAGAAAGATCCAGACCAAAAGGGCTTTAATAGAATCTGAATAGTCTGCCAGCAAAATGAGAGTAAAGGTAGTTTATTCAATCAACACTAAGCATAAGACATTGCCAGCCATTTGAGTTTTCTCACACACGTCCAAAATGGAAATAGTAAAACCTCTTCTGCTATTTCTCAGCTAATGAAAAACTTCAATGCAAAACAAAATTGCATGCTGATATAATTTCTGAGGTTACTTCTGTGAATTGAAATTCAGAAAGGCACTAAGGAATTAGGAAATTTTCCACTCCGGGAATGGTGAAGAAAATCGGAGCAGCAGATGTGAAGAAGAAACCATTGTAAGCAGGATTCTCCAGAGAGCGCATGACTGAGAGTCTGTCTTTTGAAGCAAAAAGATCCAGTCTCTCTGGTCTTCAAGGAGGTCTTAACCTGTTTCCCCTTTTGTTCATTTTGTGGCTCTTTGTTTTTGCTGCCTTATGATTTTTCCTCTGGGAAATGTCGAAAAAGGCCAGTGCTATTGTAAAACTGATGAATGATGTGACACTGCCATCCCCACTGTCCTTGTATGTGTTTCTTCTCTCACTGCTGCTTTTTCTGTCCACTGACCTTTTCTGTCACAAGCACCCATATAAATGATAACCGCTGGTCCTCTGAACGGGAATAATGCTTAGATTCTTCAAACCTCAAATGGCACACTCTTCTAAAGTGCTTTCAATTGTTCTACGGAAAGGTAAGTTGAGGCAAATCTTTAAATTATAAAAGGCAAAGAAAAAAATTGGAATGATGGGTTGAAATGTGTTTTGCAAGAGAGAGAAGAATGAGAACGGTCTCTATTAACCTACCTGCTTCAATACGACCCAAGCCTGCCTACCTGTGCCTAGGAAGGGCAGTGAAATGAAGTGGTGAAGAAAACTTTCTATAGCCATGTGGACTAAATAAAGTTTTGGCTATGAGACTGAAAACCTCTCTAT